AACTGCAGCTGCTACAGTGGGTCCCAGTGTGTTTGCACAAGACTGAGAGGATGATAAACATTGATTGTGTATGTTGCACATCAGGTTTGAAAACAATTTGCGGGCTGCACGGATTTTCTAGCAAGGACTCCATGTAATAGCACAGCTATGAATGGACAAACATCACACTTCATAATAACATTAAGATCTTAATAGGATTAGAGGATTAGAATTGAGGTCTGACTTAGAAGGGAGTGAGTAAAGGCTTGCACTGTGCTTTGAAGCACCTAGAAACTGGTTTCCATGAGAATTTTAGGGAAATAAACCCACTAATCTGAAAGTCCAGTAGAGGCTTCCACTATAAGGACGAGTCTTATTAGGAACTTTGCACATTGACTAGTTTAGAAACAACTGCAACTGTTTCCTTCTGCTTCTGCTTACAGCAGTTAAGAGGGTTTTTGCACTTAGTTGTATCACTGTGGGTGGTCTTGTATAGTCCTGCTGACAGTAGTATTCTCCTGCATCCTCAGCCTGCACCCCAGTAATGGTGAAAGTGAAGTCAGTGCCGCTGTATCGACCACTGAATCGATCAGGGACCCCAGTGAAACGGTTGGTTGCATGATAAATAAGGAGCTTGGGATTTTGTCCTGTTCTGAATTGATACAGGTCCATTTCATTGCTAACAGAGCTGGATGCCTTACACTGGATCGTGACCGTTTCTCCTGGAAGCACCATCACAGAAGTGGGTGTTTGAGTGATAACGATCTGCCCGCTGGATGCTAGGAAAAGAGAGAAATAAAAAGCCCTTTCCCTGAATCTCTTCTATAATAATGGGTAAGAAATTCATTCACCAAAGGGAGCTGAGTTACCTACCTCCAAACACAGCAAAGAGCAGCCAGAGCAAATGCATTTGTGAAATCATGTTCCTTCTAGATCAATTTCTTTGACCTAAATTGTTAAAACTGGAGCACTGATTTATAGTCACTGGGGAAAAATATTAGAATTTATCAACAGTCCAGTATGCAAAGATGTGTAAATCAGAGACTGGGCTAAACTATTTTCAACAGCTTCCTGTGTGCTTCAGGGCTTTATTGTCACGAGGAAACAGCAGACTATCTATCTGTCTCAGTAAGCATGAGCAACGTTAACAGGAGACATGAATGCACATACTTAGTTAAATAGAAATGATGCAGTAGATTAGATGATGGTAGCTTTTTAATACCAGAACATTCTGAGAAATCCAGAGATGTTTGTTTGAATTTTCCAGTGTAGATGCAATTGGGATAGTTTGTTGTTTAATCATAAGAGAGTTCATATTATTTCATTGCTCCAGTTAGGAAAATAAAAATGAGATGTTCTGATGATTTATTTCCCCCAAGAGAATTAAATGATTGTGAAATGAGCAGTACTTGCCCAAGGTCTTGCTGCAGGTCAGCCGTAACCCTGGAAGAGAGTTCAGGATTCCCTAAGCCATGACAAAACCTTTTCTACACCTGTTGTTTGTGTATAAGTCATTTAGTCCAGGCAGTTCGATAGAGAAAAATATCTTTAAGATCAGTGGGAGATGTTCAGATAGCTTGGGGCTGGGGGCTAGGTGAGAACATAAGAATGGCAATACTGGCTCAGACCAAAAGTCCACATATCCCAGGTTTCTGTCTTCTGACATCAGCCAATGCTGGTTCCCCAGAAGGAATGATTAGAAACAGGTAACTTTCAAGTGATCCCTCCCCTACTACATATGAATATGGTTAAAGTGAACATCTGTTCAGAATTTGAATGAATTTAACCCTACATCTAAAATAATCATAGAATCATAGAATTCTAGGACTGGAAGGAACCTGGACAGGTCATCGAGTCCAGCCCTCTGCCCTCATGGCAGGACCCAGTACTGTCTAGACCATCCTGGATAGATACTTATCTAACCTCTTCTTAAATATCTCTAGAGATGGAGATTTCACAAGCTTTCTAAGCAATTTATTCCAGTGTTTAACCACCCTGACAGTTAGGAACTTTTTCCTAATGTCCAACCTAAACCTCCCTTGCTGCAGTTTAAGCCCCTTGCTTCTTGGCTTATCCTCAGAGGCAGGGGCAGATGACCATTTTGCGGGGCCCCGAGAAGCATAATTCCGCGGTGTCCCCCCTTTGCCACAGCGCATGCGCAGGGCTTTCTGAAGCACGGGGCCCAGGGCAGCCGCCCCGTTCGCCCTGCCCTATATCCGCCCCTGCTCAGAGGTCAGGAAAACAAGTTTTCTCCCTTCTCCTTGTGACACCCTTTTAGATACCTGAAAACCGCTATCATGTCCCCTCTCAATCTTCTCTTTTCCAAACTAAACAAGCCCAATTCTTTCAGCCTTCCTTCACAGCTCATGTTTTCTAGACCTTTAATCATTCTAGTTGCTCTTCTCTGGACTTTCTCCAGTTTCTCCACAGCTTTCTTGAAATGTGGTACCCAGAACTGGACACAGTACTCCAACTGAGGCCTAATCAGTGCAGAGTAGAGTGGAAGAATGACTTTTCGGCTACAGCTAGACTGGCATGATTTTCCGTAAATGCTTTTAAGGGAAAAGTCTAGACGCAACCCTCGTGTCTTGCTCACAACACGTTTGTTAATGCATCGTAGAATCATGTTTGGTATTTTTGCAACAGCATCACACTGTTGACTCATATTTAGCTTGTATAAGCCCTAGATCTCTTTCTGCAGTGCTCCTTCCTAGACAGTCACTTCCCATTCTGTATGTGTAAAACTGATTGTTCCTACTTAAGTGGAACACTTTGCATTTGTCCTAATTAAACTTCATCCTGTTTAACTCGAACCATTTCTCTAATTTGTCCAGATCATTTTGAATTATGACTCTATCCTCCAAAGCAATTGCAACCCCTCCCAGCTTGGTATCATCTGCAAACTTAATAAGCATACTCTCTATGCCGGTCTCTAACTCGTTGATGAAGATATTGAACAGAACTGGTCCCAAAACAGACCCCTGGAGAACCCCACTTGTTATATCCTGCATTAATTTATCTAGCTCTTTTTTGAACTCTGTTGAAGTCCTGGCCTGGCAAGAAGTTCCACAGGTTGATTGTGCATTGTGTGGTTAGAATTTGATTATTGTTATTACTTTTACAACAATTCAACATTGGTTAGGAATTTATGCAGAATAGATAGAAGACCTTGCTCTGGACCAGGCGAACTTACAGTTTAGCATGGGAAACATCCCTGGAGCTCTGTAAATGAGAAAGAAACACTTCACCTTCAGAGGACTCAATCCTGTAGTCCTGATCCAGGCAAAAAAATGGCATTTTGCCTCTGTCAGGAGGACACTTTTAAAAATCCTTAGCACTCAATGAAATGATCAAAAATGTCTACAGAACTTAAAGAGCTACAGAGAGGTTTTTGTGCTGGTCTGTGGCATTGTTGAGAGGGTAGGCGCTATGCTGCAGACAGTAATAATCTCCAGCATCATCCGCTTAAACCCTGCTGAGGGTGAATGTGAATTCTAACTGGCTTCTGCTGTGTGCTCATCAGATCCAATTTTTGCTCAGTGAAGACCAGCAATACAGGAATAGACATCAGCGATACAGGAATAGACCTTTAAAAACCAAACTAGTCTTAGACAGTCAGTGCTTCATGCGCCAATAGCAGTGATGGAGATGTTTATTGTGAAGCTTCTGTATGTTTGAAACTAAATTTGTGTTTCAAGTGCTCTGTCTTCAAATCACTCTTCAATGACACAGGCTACTATGGTCAGTATTTGTTGCTTAACATCTGGGAAGATGATTCTTTAGACAGTTGAGTGAGCTTTGTTTCTAGCTCAGGGGTTTTCAAACTTTGGGCCACAGCTTGTAAGGGCAAGCTGCTACCTGGCCATGAGATGCTTTTTTTACCTAAGTATCCACAGGCATGCGGTTCCCTGTTCCCAGCCAATGGAAGCTGTGGGGAGCAGTGCTAATTGGGACACTGCTTCCTGCAGCTCCCATTGGCTAGGAACAGCATGCCATGGCCAATGGGAGCTACAAGTGGCCATGCCTGCAGACACACAGGTAAACAAAATATCTCACTGCCAACAAGTGACTTGCCATTACAAGCCACTGATCTCACCCAGTTCCACTAGCATGAGTTCACTTAGACTGCCTTGCCTCCTCCAACACACACACAAGTAGGGCCACACCCTGCTGCAGAAAGATGCAATTGCAACATACAGGTGGTACAGTGGGTCCCAGTGTGCTTGTACAAGACTGAGAAGATGTTAAACATTGATCGTTTTTGTTGCACGTTAAGAACATAAGAACATAAGAACGGCCGTACTGGGTCAGACCAAAGGTCCATCTAGCCCAGTATCCTGTCTGCCGACAGTGGCCAGCAGCAGGTGCCCCAAAGAGGGTGGACCAAAGACAATGATCAAGCGATTTGTCTCCTGCCATCCCTCTCCAGCCTCTGACAAACAGAGGCCAGGTTGATCGTTTTTGTTGCACGTTAAGAACATAAGAACATAAGAACGGCCGTACTGGGTCAGACCAAAGGTCCATCTAGCCCAGTATCCTGTCTGCCGACAGTGGCCAGCAGCAGGTGCCCCAAAGAGGGTGGACCAAAGACAATGATCAAGCGATTTGTCTCCTGCCATCCCTCTCCAGCCTCTGACAAACAGAGGCCAGGTTATCCCCTAGCTAATAGCCTTTTATGGACCTAATTTCCATGAAATTATCTAGCTTACTTGCAAATATAGGAGCTGTCAATATCTCAGACTGGCTTTCTCCCCTGATTTGAAGTGCTTCATGGGCCAAACTGAGATGTGTGTCTTCACATGTGGCTGCTATGTCTGGGAAAGGCTCTCTTCTGAGTCCACTCCAAAGTTTTATTAATACCACTTATAAAATACAAGACAGGTCAACCCAAGAGACTGTCCAATTACTGCTACAGTTAACATTGGAGGGTATGATCAGGGCAGGTGAGCCATTCTCTGGAAGAACACACAAGTTGTCTGTGTGCATGAAAGCCCATTTTTATGTTGTTATTCTGGGCAAGATTTGTTATTTGTTTCCATGCTACTTTCATATTGCATGCAAAGAGAACAAAAAAAATACTCTATGGCAGGTAGTTGAGTTTAAATTTCTGCTTTAGTGTTATTATATAGCTGCTTAATGTTATATTTATTTCATGCTTTCACCAGTAACTGCCTAATCACTTCTGATTATTTTCACCCAGAAGCATATAATATTTACAGCTCAGAAATGGAAGGCCCTGTAGCCCCAGTCCTGCAATCTGATTGGCAAGACTAACCCTCTTAAATTCATATGGAACTTCCTCAACCTCAGTGGGCTACATGTGAACTTAACCGTGCATTATGAGGGTCTAATCGCTTTCAATTGTGATTTAGCAGAGTAATATAAAGAACAGCAAAAATGCTTTCAATGTGAAATAGAACATACATAAGAATGGCCGTACTGGGTCAGACCAAAGGTCCATCTAGCCCAGTATCCTGTCTACCGACAGTGGCCAGCACCAGGTACCCCAGAGAGGGTGGACTGAAGACAATGATCAAGCGATTTGTCTCCTGCCATCCCTCTCCAGCCTCTGACAAACAGAGGCCAAGGACACCATTTTATCCCCTGGCTAATAGCCTTTTATGGACCTAACCTCCATGAAATTATCTAGCTTCTCTTTAAACTCTATTATAGTCCTAGCCTTCACCGCCTCCTCTGGCAAGGAGTTCCACAGGTTGACTACACGCTGTGTGAAGAAGAACTTTCTTTTATTAGTTTTAAACCTGCTACCCATTAATTTCATTTGGTGTCCTCTAGTTCTTCTATTATGGGAACTAATAAATAACTTTTCTTTATCAGCCCTCTCCACACCACTCATGATTTTATAGACCTCTATCATATCCCCCCTCAGTCTCCTCTTTTCTAAACTGAAAAGTCCCAGTC